AACCACCCCTGCGAAATAATGTGATCGAGTACAGATGGAGACGCGTCCCTTTCGGCACCAGAGCATCCCCTAGTATGCTGAAACATGGTCATCTCCGCATACCTTAATCAAATTGACGACCTCTGGCAAGCGAGATCCAGAAATATTTGTAACGTTGATAATATACTCTTGACGGCATCCACTGCTGACGAAGCAATGTACAAATATAAAAAATCCAAACAAATTTTTGCCGCCATAGGAATGAACTTGAGAGAATTTGTGAGCAATTCCGACTTTGTGAACGCACGTTTAGACGAAAAAGACCGAGCGCCATGCGGCCCCATGAAACTGCTCAGGTGTGGACTACGACTCCAACTCAGACGTCCTATCATTCAGCACTGATTTTTCAAAGTACCCCGTGACGAAGAGGGACCTATTATGCCAGCACCACTCCATATACGATCCGATGGCTTTGGTGCCCCGCTGCTGATAAAGCAGAAGCAGCTGATGCGGACAATATTCCAACAAACAGCAGAATGGACTACCAAAATAGACCCTGGATTGATTCAGGAATGGCTTACGATCACTAAAGACATAGATAAATTCCACATTCGAGTTTCACGACAGCTCATACGACCAAGGCCACCCCCACATCAAAACAACCTATGGGTCTTCGCCGATGCAAGTAATCAGGCTATGGCAGTGTGTGCGTATATGGTAGACACCGAGGTCACTGAATTTTCGAGCCTCATAAGTGGGAAGACCATGCTGGCTCCCAAAAAGCGCCAGTTATCCATACCCAGACTCGAGTTACTTGCAATTTTGCTGGCTCTACGGCTAGCGGAATCCATCTCAACCACATTGTACATCGTCGTGTCAGACATATTCATCGTAAGTGACAGTCGAATTGCGTTGAGCTGGATCCGAACTTCTCGAAAATTACCTCTGTTCATAATGAATCAACGCGACCGAATAAGAACCATCATAAACAGACTCACAGCTCGTGGACATGGAATCCATCTTCTACACATACCGGGAGCAAGGAACCTTGCAGATGCAGGCACTCGCGGAGCCACTGCTGCACAACTCGCTTGCGTTGATTGGGTGACGCTTTGCAAGTTTGTCCACTGTTACATTTATTCTTAACCCACTCGCGACCGGGCGGGATTTTCGAAGACTGCCCGTTCGGACCAGCGCCGGCAGAGGCGATTGCGCAATGTCAGCCACCGGTGGCTGACATTGTCCCAGGGGAAATCCATCTTGTTTTTTTTTAGTTTTTTCTATATATCATCCGTAGTTCACGCTGAAACTTCTCCTATAGAGGTTATCAAGGGTCCTGATCACGATTATGGGATCCATTTTTGGCGCTGGCGCCAAATTGGCGCCATTTGGCGCCAGATGGCGCCATGACTGAATTTCGTCAAATTCGCTGTAAACTTGTATATAGGGGTTATTTGAGGCCCTGATTACGAATATGACATTCGTTTTTTTGATTGGCGA